TAATGACTCACAGAACCATACTTACATTCATAGCTAGCATTCTACCAAATGCAGAAGGACAATGATTCGTATCTACCCTATGCAGAGCAATGATAAGTATCTACTGCACACAAATCCACAGTCAGTACAATGCCTCAAATACCAGGCTGACACAACAGAGACATAGCAGATTAACCAAAGCGTGGCGCTCACTGATAGCATGTGCAGGTTCCCCACATGTTTTCCTGAGGAAATGAGGCTGAGGCTTGCAAAGGGTAGCCCACACGAAAATCTCACACATTTGTAAAACCTGCTGCATACCTCTACATGAATGCAGGATGTGAAAGTGCCACATGCCCTTGAGGAAGGCTTCAACTGTTTGCACCACTGGACACCAACCCACAGTCACATGAGAGAAGAATCTTTGCTGATACTGATCTGTGTGGGCACAATGGTCATGGTAGTTTCAGCACTGTATAAACCATTTTCCTTGTATCAGTCTTTGCTTTAGAGGGGACAATGCATGAAAAATGCGCTCATAGGAACTCAGCTGGAGTCAAAGCTAATTTTTCCTAGTTTCTATAGCTTTTTAGACTCGACCATGGTGAAAATGTGCCTGCAGGTTCAGTTCAGGTTGTCTTTGTGCAAAATTGGATCTAGTGGGCTTAGCTGTCCTCCCCAACATGTTGGTCAAAATGGAATTAATACGCAGCAAGTCATAATTAAGTTGCTTTGGAAAAACCAACTTACTGTTCTTTGTAGTTTTCTTTTCAGTATCATTCTACGCTTAAATAATTAAATATTTCTCATCCTGCAGTTTTTGAGCTAGAAAAATGAAACTTTGCAGAACCGTAGGACCCATACCCAGTTAAGTTGCTTGTGCTTTTAGCTGGCTTTCTTGTAAAACGATTGTTCAATGCACATCTCGCACACAGACACTCATTCACAGTAAACACAGCCAAATGCACAGCAATATCAGCAAAAATAATGGATCTAAGGTGGCAGTGCATTCAGGGTAGCAGTGAATTTAAGGTGGCAGTAAATTTAAGGTATCAGTGGAATTAAGGTAGCAATTGATTTAAGGTAGCAACTGATTTAAGGTAGCCTGAGATTTAACATGGCACTGGATTTAAGGTATCAGTAAATTTAAGGTAGCAGTGGAATTAAGAGGGCACTGGACTTAAAGAAGCAGTGGATTTAAGGTAGAAGTGGATTTTGTGGTATTGTATGATTTAGAGTACCAGTGGATTAAACGTTGCAGTATATTTAAGATAGTAGTGATTTTACGGAAACAGTAGATTTAAAGTTTAAGTGGTGGCAAGGAGGCACTGGATTTAAGTAAGCAATTAATTTAAGGTAGCAGAAGATTTAAGGTGGTAGTGGATTTAAGGTACCAATGTATAGCATAACAACCATCTAGCAACAGCTTAGCAACAACCTGGAATGCCAAATACTGGATTTAATTTGGCAGTGAATTTAAGGGAGCAGTGGATTTAAGGTAGAAATTAATTTAAGATAGCAGGAGATTTAAGGTGGCAGTGGATTTAAGGTAACAGCAGATTTACCGAAGCAGGAGATTTAAGATGATAGTGGATTTAAGGTAACAGTGGATCTAAGGTAGCAATGGATATAGGGTCTCAGTGGATTTAAGGTAGGAGTGGATTTAAGGTGGCAGTGGATTTAAGGTAACAGCGGCTTTAAGTTAGCAAAGAGTTTTGCGTACCAGTGAATTAAAAGTAGCAGTTGATTTAAAGTAGCAGTGGATCTAAGGAAGCAGGAGATTTAAGGTGGTATTGGATTTAAGATATCAGTGGATTTAAGGTGGCATTGGATTTAATGCAGCAATGGATTTAAGGTAGCAACATATTTAAACTTGCAGGGGATTTAAGGTAGCAGTGGGTTTAAGGTTTAGGAGGATTTAAGGAGCCACTGGATTTAAGGCAACAATCAATTTAAGTCAGCAGGAGATTTAAGGTGGCAGTGGATTTAAGGTAGCAGAAGATTTGAAATAGAAGGAGATTTATGGTGGCAGTGGATGTAAGGTAACAAAGAATGTACGGTACCGGTGGGTTCAAGTTGGCAGTGTATTTAAGGTAGCAGTAGATTTAAGGAACCAGTGTATTTAATAGCATAGCAACCACATAGCAACTATCAACAGTCTTCCACCATTTTAACGTTTTAACGTAATTAGCTGGTTTTTTCAAGCCAACTTAAAGTTTGTTTACAAACTTTTCCTCTCTAGTTGAATGAGTTGCATTTGCTCTTGTTCAGCCACACTCAAGCACACAGTTCAGCACCTGTGTCAGCTGTTATGAATGACTTACAAATGATTAACTACAGAACAGCAACAGCAACACCTTCCTCCTTGTCTCTCATTCACTCACTTTCACATTCACCCTCATTACTGCACACAGTGCACAGACACATGTTAAACACAGCTCAGAGAATACAACAGAGTGATGAAGTGGTCTGTTATCAGAGCTCTGAACACCTACATTGCCCCGAAACACTGTTTGGATATTAATCATGCTTACTAATATATTAAGTTCATTGTGTTATGAAACAAATGTCAAACTGTGTGGCATTTTAAACAGACCATTCCAGGCCCGTCATCCTCTTTTTGGCAAAGCATGTTTTCAAAGGTGGCCGGGGTTTTTCAGACTGTCGTTGTTCAGCAGTGTGCTTGCAGACCTCTGTACGGTTCCATCCAAAACCACTTTGCAAATTTTTATGATTTTATGATCACCAATAAAAACAAGACCAACACCACCACTGTAAGAAAAACAGCCCCAGATTTTGACTTTTACTCCTCTGCACCTGTGCTTTACAGTGCTCTTAGTAAGTGTTAATAAGTGTTTTTTCTGAAATAAATAACATTTTATCAAATATTTTACAAAAAAAACTGCATTAATATTTATCAGTAGTTAAAGACAAAAAAAAAAAAATTGTGTTTTGTACTGATTTCCTACCGTGTAGAATTCAGCCTGTTTGTGTATTTGTATCTGTGTGGGCAGGCATGCTTAAGTAAGGGTGTACTTGGGTAGATATGTGTTGGGGAGGGCAGCTGAGTAAGACGCTTTACAAACAAGTGTTTGGATGCTGGCCAATGAGGAAACCCTGGGAGTGCAGAAGAAGTGGTGATGCAACTAAGCTTGCTTGAAAAAAAAAAGGTTTCGCCTGGGCATGATGCAATCCAACACAGAATTCCCCCTCTAAGGCACGCCCATGTGTAATAGCTTCAAAGCTTTCAGTCTCCCTCTCTCCTTCGCTTCCAGACTTATCTGTTATCTGCTAAGTGGACTGTGAGGCGAGTATCTAATAATCTATCACTCTGAAAAATTCCCTATGAAACCTCTGGAATTGTCTGTATGCATTCAGAAAATGAGGCCTGATTTCTGCATGGATGACGCCTAAAAGTGTCATCTGATGTCCACATGAACAATCTTTAATTGTGATGTGGTTGTTCTTTAAATCAAAATAGTATTTTTTTGATGTTGCAATATGTTTATTGACTAATAGAAAAAGAAACTGAAGCTCATTTATGACTTATATACCTATGACTTATATGACCTAATATAAATAAATAGCTTTTTAACCTATATTTTGAAAACTTGTACAGTGAAAAAAACTGGAGAGAAATAGAGAAACTGGCTCAGGTAGAATACTTGATGATGCTACATTACAATATCTTTCAGAGGTGCTCAAGAAAAGGGTTAACATCATTGTAAACGTATTGTTGAACTTTGTGAGGATTTGATTGCATTCAGCCACAAGAGCATTAGTGAGGTCAGTACTGATGTTAGATGACTAATTCTGGATCAGAAGATTGGAATTGGGCTCACGCTGCTCCAGGGCATCCTACTCTATCGGCAGTGCTTTTCTATGGCGGCTATACAAACTGTGTGAACACAACTGCACATCAATGTAGCCGGATTCACTAATCAGAAGGGGTGTCTATTTTTGGGCATACAGTGCATTTATGGGAAACCCTCAGCGATTTTGCTTAGAATGGCAACATCAAGAACACATGACCAGAACACTGAAACATGATCAAATGATTGGTTTATTATTATGGTGATTAATCAGTTATTGTCACACGCAGTAATTGCAAGGCAGCATTTCATATGGAAATAATGAAAGCAGCTCAAACTAACGAAAGTAATGATGAAAGAGCACTTCCTACTGGGGTGACAGTAAATCATACACAACACCACATTCCTGAATCTCAGACAGCAGCAGAGACTTCGCGAAAGTTTCAGTTAATGATTTCATTCCCTAAATTTACCACAGTTTCCGTATTCATGGTAAGACTAACAGTAAATCCAAATATACCATTTTAGACATTTTCTCACTCTGGCTATCTTTAGGTCATGGCACTGGGTTCGAGCAATAAGTGATGTTTGCAATCACAATATTTTAAAACTACGACACAAAGAAGCACAATTTAAGGCATCACAGTTTAGACTTCGTGAAGTAGGGCTCCACATCATGAAGTGGAGCATTTCACAGAGCTATAATGTACCTGGTTCCACCGGCACTGGGCACAATTAACCAGAATCTCAGGAACACTTTCTTTCAATCTGGGCAACTTCTCTGTTGTTTTGATGCCAGTTATGGACATTGGAATGGAATAGTATGTACTGCTGATTTATAAAGCAGTTATAAAGTTCAAAAGTCAGAAGTTAATGATCAGACTGTTTTCTCGCTCATAAAGGATGGTTGTGTTTACATGCAATGCTGTTTTTTAATGCCTAATGTTTATAACTGTTTATAAAGTCTCAGTTGGACTCTCTGGCTGTAATACGGCGTACTCCAAACAGCATGACTTTCACTTTGTTTTAGCCCACTCCATATCAGCAGGAGAACAATGTTCAGCTCTTTCGGTGTTTATCAAGCTGCCGATCCAGGCTCCTAGCTCTGCTGTGTGCGCACACTGTAATTTCATATATACAGTATCATAAACAATTATGTCTGAGCTGGTTTCTTCCTCCGCATGTTTGTTTAGGTACTTGAAAGTGTGTGCGCAGCAAGCATCTAAATGGAGCGTGTGTGAGCTCGCCATGCTGGTGTGTGGGCAATCCTAGCCTTGTGAAAGTGCAGGGGGGTGTGGCATGAACTTGTTGTGAATCCAGAGGCGGGTTTCACCAGCTGTAAAGCAGCTCCTGTGAATGTGAGAGTGAGTTAATGAGTGGGCAGATTCCTCCCATATAAGATGTCGCAGTTGGCAGAACGGGAGATGCTCATTCACTCTACCAAGATGGAAACAGCTGTCTTCATCCAAGACGCTCATCTGCCCCAGGAGTCCTCAACAACTTCCAAAGCCAACCTCGAGTCCAGGGATCTCCAGAGCAGGACCATGAGGCTAATGCTGGGACTCATCTCTGGGCTGGTGTTGCTGGTTGTAGGGATGGTGGGACTGTGTATCTGGATGTATCTGTATCCCATTGCAGAGGTAAGGCTCAAAGTCCTGCTCCCTGCTTTTTGAAAATGTGGTTTTAACACTGTTAGTCCTACCACTACAGCCACTACTACTGCTAACTGACAGTACTGCTGCTACTACAACTACTATTACTGCTATTTGTACTATTACTGCTACTACTGCTACCACTAATACCACTACTACTTGTGATATTACTACTGCTACTGATACTACAACTAATGCAGCTGCTTTTACAACTATTATTGCTTTTACTACTCCTACTGCTATCTGTACTCCTAGAACAATTACTTCTGCTACTGCTGCTACTAAAAATAATATTCTGTTGTGTAACCAATGCAATGCGACCATAAAGCTATAATCCTACTTCCTGTGGAATGGTACATCTGCTTAACTCTGAGAAGAGGTCATTATAGTGATTCCTGGTGATCTTTCTTGTACCTAATGCCTGATATTCAGTGGTGAATTGTCTAATACTGATGCCTTCACTTTCAATGACATCATGACATTTTCCCTTCTTTCCTCAGAAGATAAATGAGGCAACCCCTACTGCTGCTGCTTCTGCTACACAATGCGAAAGGGTCAACTTGACCATGTCAGGTAACTCTCACAAAAATGCTATCCATTATCAGCCTGCTACAAACACGACATATCGCTGCTGTCGGAACAAAACCTTGCATCTCCATTTTTGTCATGTTTTAGTTTTTGACACTATTTGAAAATGCCTGTTGCCCTTTACATTGTGTGTAAATTTCATGAAGAACGGGCCAAAAACAATGGCCCAAAATGACTCGGGAAAAGGTCTGGTTCCATTGACTTACATTAAAAGTGAAGTAGGTTTTTTCCCTTTCATGTAAAGGTACCATTTTGGAGATACAAGGTTTTCTTCCGACAACAGCGATACACATACAGGAAGAACTGATTTAAGAAATGTTATTTTTACTGTGTTCTTATGGGCTGGACAGGACACAGTATTATCATTGAGACTGAAATTGTAAGATTAATGCATTGTGCTTTTGTTTACAGAGGGGAAAGTCTTCAAAGTACCACATGATGGGACCTATTTCATCTATGGCCAGGTGAAGAGGCAGCACGAAAAGGCCGAAAAAGACTGCAATGATGAGATCAGGTTGTGCTGGAATAAGACCAAAACCTCAGGCAATAAAGAATGCAAGAAGGGAAACGTTCCTAGTAACTCTCCTGTAGTTGAGATCATGGCCGTTGATGTCCAGCTAGAGAAAAATAGTGAAATATCCTTTGAACTGAACTGCAAACCATTCGATACGACAGCTTCTTTTAGAGTCTTGCGAGTATGATATGAAATATATATTACATCAGTTGTACTCATGTAGAAGGACTTTAAACGGGCCAAGGGCTTTACTTAAGCTTCTTCTAAAGTCTGCGTTATGTCCGAACACTTGTGCTGTACTGTAGTTTATTTTTCAGTGCCTCTATACCTTTAAAGTTCGTCTGGATGCTTTTGCATCCACCACTGTTGCAGTAAATAAGATAACACATGTAACACATGGAAAACTACATTTATAGTATCTCTGTATGCTTCATAGTGAATGCCTCATCTTTTTGGATAATAGTGAAGTGCTGTGTATGAGTAGATTCATTTTTAAATAAAATTACCTGGTGTAAATCATAAACTGAAACCCCTAATATATATATAAATTAATTATCATAGTATCGTTTAAAATTTTTAATTTTTAATTGTTTGAAAAATACACACACTGTGATGTATGTTACATTGTCATTCTATAGTGTGTCTTGTTGATGAATGCATTACTTTTGAATGTGAACATAATAAAGCATTACTTGTTTTTTTTATATCAATCCTAATTTTATTAAAATAACTTACGGATCATTTTGCTGTCATATAAATGTTATCATAATAATGGCTTGCTTGGAAAGGTGTGTTGCTGTATCCCTTCCATTCCTCCAGCACACTGTAGATCTATTTATTTCCTAAAAGAAATGTGAAATATAGGGTAAATTGGTGGGGAAGAAGCCCCAAGTGTAAGATATCACCCTCACCTTATTCTCTCTCCTGACCAAATGATGGGGCTGATTCTAATTGCGACACATTCACTGAATAGCTATGGTCTAATTATGAAATTTCATCTGGGTTACTGGAATCTTGGGATTGGGCTACTTTCTTGGGTCAGTTGATGGGTGAGTTTGACTTGTTGTTCAAAAATGTGTAATATAATTTATTAAAAGAATGTGAATACTTTGGTGGGTGTGGGTGTGCTTGTGGCAATACAACTGGTTTTGTGAAGAAAAATGAGATTTTTTTGTATTTTTAGGTGAAAAGGTAAAGTCAAATGAGTATGTTGTCACACAATCACAACAACTGTTTAACTAATAAACAAAACTTACATTTCAAGCACTTCTGTTTTACTCTCATTTGTCAATCAAAGTCTATTACAGTCATTAACTGGATGCATTAAGACATACATTCACACTTTAAAAGTATATTTAGTGCTGTATTTTTGATTAATAACACTTTTTGAAAAAATCAATGATTAGAAAAGATTTGACATAATTAAAATTATACATTCTGTAAAACTTACATGCCAAATTGAAGCAAGATTCACAAGGGGGGGCTTCTTACTCCAGATTGGGGTGGTCAAGAGGGTGACTTCTTCTGCTCTAACAGTGGCGCAGGATGCCACTTTTAACCTCCTCAGTTCCATGACGGGACCCTTAAAAAACAATGTTTTTATATAAAACATGATTTGTTTACTCTGAAACATATAATATTCAGTGCCCAGTATATAATATAATACAGGGAGATTCACTCGAAAGAGGCCCCGAATATTCTGTTGTAACTCTAGTTAGGATGAAGCAATCTGATCCAAAAAATATGCTGCATACCTTGACGTCTGTGTAATCGATTGCATTACATGTGATGCTGGAAGTGATCTCAGTTTTCTGCCAGACACATGAAGGGGTATGGGGATCTGCACCCAGGAGTTGCAAACGGAGGTTAAACGTTGTGACGGCTGTCCGGCGCCTACCTCATCGCTCCGACACAGGGGCATCCCGGCATGTTCGAAGCTCCATATACAGAGGAGCACATTGCATGTTGTTTTGTTCAGATTACTTCGTCCTAGCAAGAGTTATTACAGAATACTCGGGGCCTCTTTCGAGTGAATCTCTTTGTATAACATAATATAATTTAATATAAATACATAAAAATTATAGATTTATATATTACATTATATAATGTTCAGCTTTTCTTTGGGTTATGATCATCCTGCTTATAATAGTAGTATCTTAATATCTTGCAAATTTCATGTGCCTAATTCCAACGTCCAGTATACTGGACACTGAAATCAACATTTCACATCAATATAAACAACACTATCCCCAGATTTCTAGATCAGCATCTGCTACCTTTAACAAAATAAACAAAAAACTTGAATGACTGTGTTTTGTAATGACTCTATTATACTAAACAAAGCATCATTATTACTTTGAGTCCACGTGTTCAGATTACTGGACCTTAAAATTGGTCTTCGTGTATGTAGAAACAAATATCTGCTATGTTGCTTTTTTACCTTTCACAAGAGGGACCTTCTAGAACAGGTGTGTCAAACCCAACCGCTTAAAGGGCCACACTAAAAAATTCTCAACAAATCTGTGGGCCAGAGAACACCTGTGTTTTATTCCATCTTTAATAAACATTTTGCTATAAACTAAACTGACCATTGTTTATTCAAAATTCGCAAAAACCTCAACAGATCACTCTTTTAAACCTACCTATCTGCTTGAATTAGTCACCTGGTGTCTTTTCTTTGCTGCAAGTTCATTAAGACTTAGACGCAATTTCTGAGCAGCCGAGCTGATGTTAAGTGTTTATATTGGCTGAAATGCAGCTAGTGTGTTTGGTGATATGACTGGTGTGGAACTGTGTAGAACTGTGTGGAATTCAGGTGTAACCGCTGTCCTGTCGTTGGGGTAGGAGAGTCGGAGCACACGTTACATTGCATTGCATGCTGGGAACTGTAGTGCAGCACACTGTGAAACGGGGCTAACAGTAATAGAAAATTTAAATACCTCTGTGGGCCGGATAGGATTGTGTGGTGGGCCTGATCTGAGCCCACGGGCCTTGAGTTTGACACATGGGTTCTAGAAAGACATACATGCACAACATTTCTGGAATGAATATAAGATCATTTAGAAACAGTGATTTATTTGGTCTTGGAGGCAGTGAACATATTTGTTTTTGTTTATGATAAGAAACAAAAAGAAACATTTATTAAGTGTTCAACCGATACAAAGAGCGAGTTCTGTAGAAACACATTAAAGTGAGTGTGGTGACAAACCTGCCATAGTGCTAGAATACCTGGGCAAAAATGTCCAGAATACTGAATGTTTGGAATGAGAAGGTTAAAAAAATCTTTTTTGAGCTAGAAAACAAAACTGTCTGTTGTTCCAGTTTATTTCCCCTAACTGCGCATGAGTTTATGTATCGTCACCCTGTGCATGCTTAACTTGTGTCTGGTTTAGGCTTACGGTAAATGGACATTGTTGTGGGTGAATAGATAAAATGTAAAACCAGGGTCAGCACTTTCTCAAACAACCCTCCAACATTGGGCAAGAAGTGACGCCTTTTCTCTAATGTTGCTTAATGCTGATCACCTTATCGAAACTAGCAGTTTCAAAGGGAAACTGATAGTTCCATTAGTACCAGCTTAGACACAGCAAAATGTACACTAGTGTTCAAAAGTTTGGAATCACAAATTAAAAAGTCTTGGATCACTGTTTCAATAAAATAGATGAATAGACATTGAATACTATGAATAGACATTGAAAATAAAGTTATGATAAAAATAACCACCACAACGCCTCCTGTTTTAAATGTGGTTATCAAATCTCAGGCAGATAACTGGAGATTACTATAAACACACACACACCCACACACACATATTATCTAAACTGCTTATCTTTCTGGGTTGCGGGGGGTGCTGGAGCCTATCCCAGCAGTCACTGGGCGGAAGGCAGGAAACATCCCGGACAGGTCGCCAGTCCATCGCAGGGTAGACAGACAGACATATATATTCACTCACACACTCACACCTAGGGGTAATTTAGCATGTCCAACTGGCCTGACTGCATGTATTTGGACTGTGAGAGGAAACCCACACAGACACGGGGAGAACATGCAGACTCCACACAGAAAGGACAGCGTCACCTACTACAAATAATTACGGGATATAATCATTCAAAACCTATTTGGCTGTAAATAATAAAGGTGATTCCCAGATTTACCACTATTTTACCATCATCAGCATCACATATAAAAAAAACTGAGGATGTGAGTAGGTTCACTAGTCATTCTGAGTAGTAAATGAAATGACATTTTTTGCATTGTAGGCAAAATCGGTCTGTGGTTCCTATTACCACCACTCGAAAGAAATCTAAGTTGGCAAGTTTCGCTACAGTTAATCACATCAAACCATGCTGAATTACTTTGTTTACATCTCAATGACTACTGTGAAACTGAGTAAAATAACAATAATTATTGACTTAAATTAACTTAAAGAAAGTCAGAGCTTCTTAACCACACTGATGTGTCTGAGGGAAACAAATGAAGATTTGGATTCATGTTGAGTCAGCTGAGAGATGTTTTCGGGCATGTGTTTATGGAGATGAGTTTGGTGACAGTTCAAAGTCCAGTGTCTGTTAGCAACATTAGCCTAGCATCTTTCACTGTGAACTAAAGAAGCAAACCTCAGATACCAAACATACCAATGCTGATCGACTACCTCTGGGGAAAGTGATAAATCAAGTTAACTATTCCTTTAACTTTTTATCTCTTTATAAATCTGTCCTGAATAAGCCTCGTAAACTGGCCTTTTTTTGGCACAGGTTTTATTGTGTCCTGGGAGAGGCTGATGACACTGAGGTTAAACTATAACAATTATGGATTGCCTATTCATTTCACAGTGCATGGAAATAAATGACCTTTTGATGTCACAGTAGACCCAGAGCAGGATGACCTTAATCAGACACACTGTTAACAAGCAGCTGAGCACAGTCTAAAACAAATGCAGGGAGTCATGTGCATGCAGGGCACTGTGAGGTAAAACAATACTGAAAAAAAACTTTTTTTTTTTTTTTTACCACCACTTTACCATCATCAATAATGCATATCATTCATTTTGGTTAGTAAACAGTAAAGCATTGTGACTCCTGGTTCCTATCACCACCACTACACAGATATTTCTTTAGAATGTAAGTTTATCTACAGTGCATCATTTCACACCAGACCCCCTGAATGATTTTGTTCCCATCATGCAGCTGAATTATGTAGAAATTTTGAAAAATTGGTGGAATTCCCCTTTAACCCCTTAAGTTTTATTACATGCTTCTATAGCCTAAAAAATGTCCATTAGGTTGCAATAAAGCCCCTGTAGTTAATGAGTAATAGGCCTTAGTATGTAATAGGTCTGGAATGTCAGGGGGTTAATGATGCTGAAAACAGTGATTATGACCAAGCGCTCCCACACATCCAGAAAGAAATGAGATTCATGATGTAATAACCTGCCTCATTAGTCATTTCTTTTTGAAAATAACAATAAGCGACTAAAATATTACATTTGAATGTTTCTACTTATAACAATTTCAGACAAAAATGTACTATTTGTGTTATTTTCAAAGCAAAATAGACACAAGAAGTTAAATATCTCAGGACATGTCTGTACTTCACTGGTCTTTTATGGCACAAATCTCAAATAATGCTTCACCTATGAACTGATTGTGTCCTGTGAGTGGCAGATGTCAGACATTAAACAGTTATGCCATAAAACGATTAGGGATCAGCTATTCATTTCAATTTTACCTGCTTACACAGCATGGAATACAATGGCCTGCTGATGTCATGTTAGAAATAGAGAATTACATCATTATTTTAATCTGACTGGTTTTACACATGCAGCTGAGCACAGCTTGAAGTAGAACAGTCAATGTGATCACTCACCAGGCCAAAAAAAAAGGCTAAACGGATCCTTCTGTAATATCAGATAGAAGGCAAGAACCAGCAGTCATTAACAAAAAGGTCCATCCTTTGAAGATTAAAACCTCATATTCTGACTTAATACACTAGGAATGTATTTAGAAAATGTAACACATTAGAGCCTGAATTGCTGTCACATCAACTGGTCTAGAACCGGTTGTCTCCACACCTCATCCGACTTAGCTCACTGCCTTTAGGCTAGTAGCTGCTATATCAAGCTCCAAACAACGGCCTGACGTAAAGGATTCCCTGTTAGAGAAATATAATTTGAAAAAATGTTCAAATTAGCATGGATTTTTACCTTCCGACTACTGAGATCTGTGGCTTTTTAACAGAACTCCTCTGAACCGATGAATGTTATAGGTGAAAATTAGTGTGTTTACCTTTAAATGTGGTGCTATTACTGCAACAGAACCCAGTGCTATTTTTGAGTTTCGATAGAACAGTTACGCATTTTGGTACTTGCTAAGCTGCTGAGGGGCAAACATGCCTCACCCTGCTGCTGTAAAGTTGTGGGTGGTGAGTGAACATGCCAGGACACACTGGCTTTCATTGCACAGTTCTACAAACTACATTCAATATATCTATATATTTGAATTGTTGGGTCTAGGCAGGATACCATGTCAATGCAATAACTTGTATTTTCATGTATTCAACCACCAGCCTGAATGCTTTTGCTAT